CCCCCCCCACCCCCTACCGGCCCCTCCCCAACGCCTCGTCCCAGGAGGGGCTGGCGGGCCCCCCCTCGCCCAAGTCCTGCCACAGCTCCGACAGCTCGCCCGGCTTCGCCCGCCGCGACGCCCGGCCCCAGCGGCACAGCGAAGGTGAGCCCCCGCCCGGATCCCCCCAGGCTGGGGACCCTGGCACCCCCCCGGCACCCACGTGGGGGGCAGTGGGTGACACCCCTGGCCTTCTCCTCCCGCAGACGACAGCCGGGACATGAGCCCCCCCGAGCCGGCCAGCCCCACCGTGGGGCTCGATAAGAAAACACGGAGGAAATTCTTGGATTTGGGGTGAGACCTGGCCCTAGGGGGGAGCCGGAGGGGGGATACAGGGAGGGATGGAAAGAGGATGGAGGGGGATAGAGGGACGCAGGGAGGTGCAATGGAAAGATGGAGAGAGGCCTGGAGGGACAGAAAGACGGAGGGACGGATGGAGAGAGGGATGCGCGAAGGGAGGGAGGGATGCGCGGAGGGAGGAAGATCCTCTGAAGGTGATGGAGGGGGTCTCGGGATGGCCGGAGGTGGGGCTGGGGGCCATGGGGGAGCACAGCCATCGGGGCACCCCACCAACCCGGTGCTCTCCCACCCAGGGTGACCCTGCGCCGGGCCTCCTCCAGCAAGAGCCGGAAGGAGAAGGGCAGCAACCGCCTGTCCATGGGCGGCAGGTGAGGGACCCCCCCGGGCAGGGGGGGCTGCGTGGGGACAGCCCCGGGGCCCTAACGCAGCTCTGTCCCCAGGGAGGCGGTGGAGGGTCCTGGCCGCCCCTCGGGGTCACCCTTCCTGCCCTTCTCCTGGTTCTCGGACGGCGCAAGGGGCTCGGCCTCCCCCGGCTCCGCGTCACCTGCCGGCTCCCCCCGGCACGAGGGGCTCAGCCCCGCCAAATCCGCCTCCCAGGTCAGTGCCCGGGAACGGGGGGGCTCCCGGCCCTCTAGGGTGGGTGGGTACAGGGGAGGGTACGGGAGCCCTATAGGGCCAGGGTGCTATAGAGAAGGAGATTGGTGCTCCTATGAGCTAGGTAGCTATAGGAGAAGAGGTCAAAGCCAGCTATAGGGACAGGGGACAAAGCCCCATAGGGTCAAGATAGCTATAGGGGAGGGTATCAAAGTCTATGGAGTCAAGGTAGCTATGGGGGGGGTATCAAAGCCCCATAAAGTCAAGGTAGCTATGAGGGGGGTTCAAAGCCCCATAGGGTTGGGTAACTATAGGAAGAGGGATCAAAGCCCCATAGGGTCAAGATGGCTTTAGGGGGGATTGAAGCCCCAGGGGGTCTGGTAGCCCTGTAGGGAGTCGGAGCCCTATGGGGAGGATGGCTATAGGGAGGGGGCTGGGGGCTGCTGTGGGGGCAGCGGGGCCAGCCCTGCCCTCGCCCCTCCCACTGCCCCAGGACTCGACGCTGAGCGAGGACTCCCCACCGCCCAGCGCCAGCCCGCGCCTGCCCGGCCCCACCGCCACCAAGTGCTCCTACCCCTACCACACCCTGTCACAGTCCTCGGATGAGGTGAGCCCCAGGGGGGATGCGAGGTCGGGGTACCCCCCCAGGTGCTGTGGGGACCCCCCATTAACGCCCGGCACCCTACGCCCAGTTCCTGGATGAGCCCCCCGGTGCGGCTGCAGGCTGGACGTGCCGGCAGGTGGGACAGTGGCTGGAGAGCCTCAACCTGGAGCAGTACGTAGAGGAGTTCTCGGCCCACGGCGTCGATGGTCCACGGCTGCTGCACCTCGACGGTGCCAAGCTCAAGGTAGGGGGCTGGGGGAACCTCTTCTGCTGGGGTGCAGGGAGATCCAGGTACCCCAACAGGGTGCTCCATGGGGCAAGAGGTCTGGGTGGGTACTAGGTATCCCAACAGGGTGCTCCATGGAACAGCTCTGGGAGGGTTCCAGGTATCCCAACAGACTGATCGCAGGATAACAGGCTCTAGGTACCCCAACAGGGTGCTCCATGGGGCAGGAGGTCTGGGTGGGTTCTAGGTACCCCAATGGGCTCATTATAGAACAATAGGCTCTAGGTACCCCAACGGGGTGCTCCATGGGGCAGATGCAGGTAGGTTCTAGGTACCCCAATGAGTTATCATGGGGCGCTTAAAACCTCTTGTCCTAATTGGCTGATCCACAGGGCAGGAGGTGGAGGGAGGTTCCAGGTATCCCAACGGATGAGTCAAGGAGGCAGATGGGAGGTTCTAGGTACCCCAAGGGGCTGGTGCATGGGGGCTGTAGGTACCTCAGCAGGATGATCCTGAGGACAGGCAGTGCAGGGGGGCTCCGGGTACCCCAACGAGCTGGTCCATAGGGCAGGGGGGTGCCGGCGCCCCAAGGCCATGGGGAGGTCCCCGTGGCCCCGCCGCCAGCGCCCGGCTGTGCCGGCAGGCGCTGGGCGTGGGCAGCTCGCAGGACCGCGCGGTGCTGAAGCGGAAGCTGAAGGAGCTGAGCCTGGCCGTGGAGAAGGAGCGCAAGGCCCAGGAGAAGGCGGAGAAGCAGCGGGAGAAGCAGAAGAAAAGGGACCAGGAGCAGCGGCGGAGCTAAGGTGGGGGCCGGGAGCGCCCCTGCACCCCCTCCCCACCCACAGCCCCCGGGACACCCGGGGGGCACCCAGCTCCGGCACGGGCCAC